TTTTTTTTTTTTTTTTTTTTTTTTTTTTTTTTTTTTTTTTTTTTTTTTTTTTTTTTTTTTTTTTTTTTTTTTTTGTAATTTTTATACAATTTTTCGTAACTTTATATTATCTTACGTATTAAAGCATTAATTCGATATTTTATGTAATTTCTATGCATCTTTTTTTCAATTTAGAGTGTAGACATAAAATTCAAAAAAAATGATGTTCGAAATTCAACAAAATGACGAAAAAGAGATCGTACGACTTATAAAGGAGAGATCCGACAATTTTCAAAAATATCTTCAATATCTCTAGAGAAATGTTTGAATTTTTACAATTTTCCAAGTACAAAAGTATCCTTCTTGTGTTTCTCTTCGCTAACACAATGCGAAATGATCGAACCTACGAACTCTCTCTCGGAGTACAGACATCAAGCTACGAAATGAGACGAAACGAAGTGAGAATCGCGTGACTCTTTTTTCATAACAGTTCTAAGAGTTACAGTTCGATCAATTGTAAAATCGAAACTCTCGTCGGCGATTCTCATTTGCTTCGTATTACACTGATTACACTAATTTTACAAGTAATCGCGATGCAATAATACAGAGTGTGGTGATATGTCGATGGGAAATGACGAACGGGGAGACAATTACGCCCTGCGTCAGATATAGAAAATAAAGAGTAGAGACAGAACGGGCTGGTTCTATTTTTATTTCCGCTTTGGAGCGTCGTCGACCTGATGGATGAGGCCAGTGTGGCTCTCCTCACTGTGAAACACTTCGTCAACGACGTATTGAAGACCAACATACTCGACCAGCCTTTCCTCCACTGCGCTGTATTAATCTTTGTATTTTCTCTCTCTCTTTTTTTTTTTTTTTTTTTTTAAAAAAAAGACGATGGAAGCTTGCAAACGAAGTCGCGCAAGAGGAGAGGAAACGGCGTTAAAAATTAATGCACCTCGCGTGTCGCCGATCGATTTTCGTCGAACAGCGGCCTGCACTAACGGTGGACAGAACATTAGCTTCGTCCAGAAAATGGTTTTCGTGTTATCTTTTAAGCGATCGTTCGCTTTTCAAGTCTCGCGCTCGCGTGGGTGGAGATGGGAGAAATTGAACCAGAGACCTTTCGAAACGATTGATCCTCAAGGAGACTTTGTTAGAATTAACTAGAATTATTAATTATTATTGTATTATGTAAGAATATATACTGTATATATGGTATATTATACATTATATATTAATATAAGATATTAATCCTCAAGGAGACTTTGTTAGAATTAACTAATTATTAATTATTATTATATTATGTAAGAATATATACTGTATATAATATGGTATATTATACATTATATATTATATTTTATAAGATATTAATCCTCAAGGAGACTTTGTTAGAATTAACTAATTATTAATTATTATTATATTGTATAAGAATGTATAATATATATAGTATATTATACATTATATATTATACTTAATATAAGATATTAATCCTCAAGGAGACTTTGTTAGAATTAATTAATTATTAATTATTATTATATTATGTAAGAATATATACTGTATATATGGTATATTATACATTATATATTATACTTAAGATATTAATTCTCAAGGAGACTTTGTTAGAATTAACTAATTATTAATTATTATTATATTGTATAAGAATGTATGTATAAGAATGTGTGTATAAGAATGTAATATATATAGTATATTATACATTATACCTTATACTTAATATATACTATATTAAGAATTAATTATTTTAATTAATTATGTTGAAATAATTTTATAGAAAATTTTTATCCAGTAATATACCGATGAAAAAGAAGGCGACTCATACGGTTTTGGCCACTCGTTATGGTCCGCGAGTCAGTTACTAGCGCAAGAGGTTAATGCAGGAGTCTAACACTAAAACAAGTGTTACGTAAGAACACGAAGATTTCATTCTGAAACTTTTTTTTAGCACGATCATTCAGGTTATCATAGGATCATAGGTCGAGTACGCTAACC